AATGTGGTAGAAATAGGTAAGGTACCAGATCTGCACGGTAAACGCTAATTCCTAATGGTGCTGAGGGAGGCTCTAGCATGCGGATTCGTAAGAAAAGTGTCAACTGTTTAATGCACTCAACCGAAGAGCAATAAATCACTCTATTACTGGCGCACAAGGGTAGTACATTTAGTAGTCAGTAGACCCTCTAAGGCAGTGGTTCCTAATGCCACGAGCCTTTAATACAGTTCCTCATGTTGTGGTGACCCCCAACCATAAAATTATTTTCGTTGCTCCTTCATAACTGTAATTTTGCTACTGTTATGAATCGTAATGTAAATATCTGATATGCAGGATGTATTTTCATTGTTACAAATTGAACATAATTAAAGCATAGTGATTAATCACAAAAACAATATGTAATTATATATGTGTTTTCCAATGGTCTTAGGTGACCCCTGTGAAAAGGTCGTTCGACCCCCAAAGGGGTCATGACCCATAGGTTGAGAACCGCTGCTCTAAGGTGTGATGTGGTAGTTTTGACTTAAAGAGTAATTGAACCTTTGCTTCAAGTATGAAGAGAGAGAGGTTCAATTCCAGTGGAGATGAAGTTCAACCCCTGAGCCTGAGAACCAGTGATTTCAGTCAAAAATGGTTGCTCAGCACTGATGTGGAGTTGTAAAATCAACCCTGATCAGCAAACTTGCATAGTACAGATCTGATTAGAATGAGAACTTTTGGATTTGTGAGGAACTGTGTGTTCTTTGTGGAAGAAGTTGGAAGAAAGACACAGCTGGGTGAATCTCCTGAGAACAATGAGTCACTTTCCCAGATATGTCCTGCTGTTGCAGTCTCATGGACCACTGCCACGAGTCCTGTGGTGGGTGAGGCAGCGCAGTGGTTAAGGGTCCTACACTGTAATGGATCCTTACTAAAGTGCTATAGTTTGACCTTGGGCAAGTGACATATGCTTTCCCAGCCTTGATGTCCATCTCTGCAAAATGAAGAAAAGATCAAGTTACTGCATCAGGCTTGTTTATGAGCTTTGAACTAGTAAAACCTCTTACACGGTTCTTGGCACTTAATAAATGTGCATTAAATCAGCAGTTGCCAACCTTTTGGACCTCACGGACCACCAGTTGGTGAACGCTGCTCCAAAGGTTTCCTTAAACCAGCGGTCACCAACCTTTCGGACCTCACTGACCAGCCACCAGTGGTCTGTGGACTACTGGTTGGCGACCGCTACATTAAATATTAGCTGTGCTACTATGTTGTAATTACTATTGTGTTAGGTTCTGCTTTGGAAAATTGCTGGTCTGGTACTCCATGAATATCTCTGATGCAGACAACTCTATAGCAGAGTACAGCATATCATCTTGGTGAACCCTCAAGAAGATAATCGTCATTTCATTAACCCGATTAGAAATAATGTTTCATGTATTCATTCAGCAAATATTTATAGAGCTTCTACTCTGTGCCAAGCACTGTTTTAAGCTTCAAGGACAGAAGACAAGACAGACCCTGTTCCTGCCTTCCTTGAGTGCAAAGCCTGGTAGGGGGAGACAGACTAGAAATAAATAGTATGTATCAAAGGTGATAGGTAGAGTCACAAAGAAACTTGGTAATGCTATGAATAAGGTCAGGACACTGCGCTATATGTGTGGTGGGAGGAGCACCTTAGCGGGATCAGTAAGGGCTTGTCTGAGGAGGTGACATTGACCTGCAACTTGAAGGATGAAAAGGAGCCAGCCATGCAAATAGTTGTAAAAAACAAGTGCCTGGCAGTGAGAACAGCAAAGTCCTTGGGGTAGGAACGAGTTTGGCAAGTTGGACGAACAGAGAGTAGCCTAGCATGGCTCAACTTGGATGAATAAAGGTGAGAATAAGGTGGAAGGGATTTGTAGGCTCTGAGTTTGCTTCCTGAAACCTCTACTTTCTTCCGTCCCTGGGAGTGTTTGGAGAGAAAGGAAGGACTGTGGGGAACTGACTTTGGCATCTAGAAAAAGGTGTAGGGCAGTGGTCGGCAAACTGCGGCTCGCGAGCCACATGCGGCTCTTTGGCCCCTTGAGTGTGGCTCTTCCACAAAGTACTGACTTCTGCGCATGGGCCACGAAGTTTCAATCGCACTGTCCCCTTCGCCCAAGAATAATTGTGAACAAAGACATAAAAAAATGGGGGTGAGGGAACCTAGGCAATTGGATTGTTCTACCAGATGTAAAAATATACATGGAGAAACTATAATAAATAGACTCAGTAGTTCTGGTCCAGAAATACCTGTACAGATATAAAAGCAATGAAGAGCCCAGAAACAGATCCATGCATATATAAGGAATTTTACAAGAAAAGGTGGAATTCCAAATCATTGTGAAGTAACTTTTATTTAATACATGGAACAGGACTATGAGTCGTACATTAAAAGAACAC